GACTGGGAATCGAACTGTGACCTCCTGGTTCATATGTTGACGATGCTCAACCACTGGCATTCCTAATCTTCAATACTTAAAAGTAATTCCAGGAATATCATTGAAAGAGACCATCTTTCTGTGTCAGCTAATATTTTAATTTCTCTCCTCATTAGTCTCTGCTACATATTAAATAAGTGTATTGATGTGAAACCACAAAATCAAGCAATTATTCATTCAACAAGTTCAAGTATGAACTTGAACTTTGCTTGAATGATAGACTATTCAAAGACAAAGAACTTCATGTAAATATTATAGCACTACAATAACCTATTTGGTTAGTTGGCTACTTCCCCTTCTTGCTATGAGGGCAGGATCTCTGTCTTATTCATAATTATTATTTCTGCTATGTAATAGTTGTTAATAAATGTTAAATTAAACTAAATAAAACATAAATATGACCATTTTTATCTTTATACAGCTTTCAGTATACTATGGGTGAGAAAAGATATGGGACATCATGGGTCATGATAAGCAACATAAGTTATGAGCTAAGTTCTTGGGGAATTTATTTATTTATTCATACATTGGTTCACTTGACAACTATTTATTAGCCATTTCCTAGGCACTGGGCATATATCTGTAGATGAGAGAAACACAGTCTTTGGTTTTTATGTGGCCACTTCTCACCACCTTCATCACCTCCTCAATGGTCTATGCTACCAATACCTTTCACTTGGATTATTGCAATAATTCAGCTATAATCCTAACTGGCCTCCCTACTTCCACTCTGTTCCCCTCTAGTAAAATCTCAACTGCATCCAGAGAGGTCCGGTTAAACCCAAGTTAGAGCTCATCACTCTGCTCTGAAGCCTCCACTGGCTGCTCCTCTGCGGGAGATCGCAGAAATGGCCACAGTTCTTTACACGCCTCCTCTCCAGAGGTGAAGTCTGCTACTCAGTCCGCTGAGTCTGGGCTGGCCTTGTCCGAAAGCATGTGCAGAAGGAACAGCGTGCCGAGTGTGAGCCTGGGCCTCAGGAGGCTTTGAAAGCTCCTGCTCTTACTCCTGGAATCCTGGCAGCTGCTGTGTCAACAAGCCCAGGCAGACCTGTTGGGGGAGGAGAGACCACCCGGAGCAGAACCATCCCAGACAAGACCATTCTAGATAAGCCAATTATCAGCCAACCTTAGCTGTCTGAGGATACGTGACAGAGTCCAGCTGCCGCTACCAGAAGAACCTTCCAGATGACCTCTAGACTCACAAGCTAAATAATTGGTTGTTTTGAACCATTGAAGTTTCTTGTGGGTTGTTAGGCAGCAAAAGCTAAACTGATTCATCATCTCATTCTGAGAAAAAGTCAACTACTAACTGTGTTTCCAGTACTTAGAACATTGCCTGATATCTGGTAAGTGCTCAATAAACGTTTGCTGAATGAAATTTGTAAATGGAGTTAACATTCTAACGGCGGAATCAAAACACGCACACACAAAGTTAATAAACTAGTAAAATAATCATCAAATGTGATGGGTGCTATGAAGGAAACAAAAAGTGGCTGAGATAGAGCATCACAGAATGGAAGTGGGAGGGGGGGGTCCTCCAGGGATCTTCATTTCTCCCAGAACAAAAGCCAAAATCTTTCCAGTGGCCTCCACAGCCCTGCAAGATACCTTGCTGACTCCATCTCCTGCCATTCACTGCCTCTCTGCTCCACCTAGTCTGGCCTCCCTGCTGTTCCTCTCACACATCAAACACACTCCCATTTCAGGGTGTGTTTTTTTTTAAAAAAATATATTTTTATTGGTTCCAGAGAGGAAGGGAGAGACAGAAGCATCAACGATGAGAGAGAATTATTGATCGGCTGCCTCCTGCAAGCCCCACACTGGGGATGGAGCCCGCAAACCAGACATGTGCCCTGACTGGAATCCAACTGTGACCTCCCTGTTCATAGGTTGATCCTTAACCACTTAGTCACGCCCATTTCAGGTTCTTGATGGAATGTTCTTCCCCTAGACACCCACACCATTCATTCCCTTTCTTCCCTTGAGTTTCTACTCAGATGATTCTTTTCAGTAAGACCTTCATGATCACCCTGTAGAACTAGCCACCCACTGACCCCCACATTTCCCAAACCCCTCCCTGCTTTCTGTTTCTGCATAGCAATTGACGCCATCTGATGCATTATGTAGTAATGTCTTTATTTACTGTCTGCCTCCCTGACTCAAATACAACTTCAAGGAGAGAAGAAATTTGTTTTGCTCAATTTACCCTTAGAACAATATTGTCTTAGGGCAGAAATTCAGCCAGTGGATACAAAATCCTTTAAGGGCCATAACTCCAGTTGATTCTAAAACTAAGCAAGGCAAGCATTTGGATTTGAGCCTTACTAGAACTAAGGCAAGTCCTTTTTAAAAAGCCAAAATGCCCAGGTGAGTGTTGGGTTGCTTACTGAGAACTCTACAAAGGTACTGATGGCAAGGCTAGTAACATTACAAAGCTAGTAATACTACAAGTAACAGCCATTTGCAGCATCTTTTACAATCTGCTACGGGCATTCTAATCTGGGCTATATTATTTGCTTCTCAAAACAGCCCTGAGGGATGGGTAGGGCAGCTTTTATCTTCCTCCATTTACAGATGGAGATAGTGAGGGCATAGAGCTCAAGTGAGCTACCCAAAGCCACAGATGTACTAAGTGGTCAAGCCAGATTTCAAATCGTGGCTGGTTTGACTCCAAGCATAATGCTCATTTTATTTTTATTTTTTTGCTGTTTTTTCATTCTGGGCTCTGACCTAGTAAATTTCTTTCTTTCTTTTAAAATACATTTTTATTGGTTTTAGAGAGGGAGGGAGAGGGAGAGATAGAAACACCAATCATGAGAGAGAATCATTGGTCAGCTGCCTCCCGCACGCCCCCTACTGGGGATCAAGCCCACAACCTGGGCATGTGCCCTTGATCGGAATGGAACCTGGGACCCTTCGGTCTGCAGGCTGACGCTCTATCCACTGAGCCAAACCAGCCAGGGCTCTAGTGAATTTCTTGAATCATCAAGTTTGAGCTCTTGAAAGATCCTCAACTGAGAGGCACCTTTTCCCTAAAAGAGAACACCCTGCCAAGAGGCGTAGGCGATGCCTTCCCGGTGGCTTCAGATGGACCGTGGCTTCTTCTGTTTGATAGTCAGGAAAGAACTGTGTCCTGGGGCCTTTTCATCCCCAGCCCACCCCATCCCCCGACCCCACCCCCCAAGGCTGGCTGAACTGCAAGAGCCGCGAGGACAGGTGGGCAGCTGCTTTCAGGCAAAACCCAGAAAGAAATCCCAGTCTCTCTGTTTTATTTTGGTTTAAAAATCAAGTCTGGTGACAATGGAAACTCCTTCCCTGCTCTCGACTCTCCTTTCTGCCCATGTTGACAGTAGCCGGACTTGCTAATTCTGGCTGGGGTTTTTCCCTCCCGGGTGTTTTTCTCTTTTATCTTCATCAATTAAAGAGAGCTTCAAACTGTCGGAAGGTATCTGGGGTTTTGTGTATATTTTTTTCTATAATTCTGTGGGTCTTTTCCCAGATACATACTTTATCTTAAATTAACTTCTAACTTAAGTTTCCGCCCATGTGACTTCCAGCGTGAGTTACCAGAAACCACAAGAGAGAGCGTGAGAGCCCCACAGCGAACGACATGTCCCTGTGGGGAGCAGTGCCTCTGCACCCCAGAGTGAGGAGGACACAGGGGTCAGAGGTGGCTGCAGGGCGGGCAGAGGAGGGACCGGCTGAGGGGGTGGGCTGGCGGCCTGGTGGCCTGGGAACAGTCAGGAAGGGAAGCCAGCTGGTGACAAGAGAGCCCAGCGGCGTCTGGGGCTGCGAGGAGAGCCCAGAAGACTGCAGCCATGCCTCACAGCTCCGACAGCAGCGACTCCAGCTTCAGCCGCTCTCCCCCTCCTGGCAAACAGGTAGCGTCCCCCTTTCCTCCCTTCTCCCGTCTGATCCTCCTGGGGGGACACAAAGAGGGACAGGCTCCCTTGTCTGCCCAGGTTGCTGAGGAGCGAGGGACTGGCCGGGGGCGGGAGCAGTCGGTTAGACTGAGACATGGTATTTGCCATCGAGCGGAGCCTGTTGGCAGAGACCCTACTCCTTCTGCCCATTCTGCCCAAGCCCCCTGCCCTCCTCGTCCTCCGATGGCGCCCATGGCCTCCGCCTCACCTGGATGCCCACCCCGTGAAGCTTTCTAGGAAGCCCAGAGGAGAATGAACATCAAAGAACTCTGGTCTCTCACAGGAAAGGCTCTACGTTCTCCAAGGCAGTAAATCACAAGAGGAGGAGCCTCAGAATGGGCTGCTGGCAGGCACGACCCAAAGGCTAGAGACGTGATGTCCCAGGAGACAGCTATCAGGGCAAGAGAGAAAGGGGTCAGGGAGAGAAAAGGAGGAAAAAAAAAACAAGTTAGAAGGAAGGGGAACCCGGGCAGCTCGGAAGGCTCTATCTTCTATCTCATCTCCTGGGGCACTGCCCCTGTCACTAGCACAGCCAGCAGAGGGATGCTGGCTGCGGCCAATACCTCCCTCCCCTGTGGCTTCTGGACAGGAGGAAGGAAATAAATCAGGAGGTGACTGGAGACTTGGAGACATATCCTAGCAGCTCAACTCAGCTCCAGGGAAACCAGAGAGATTGAGGTAGAGATTCTGGGGCGTTTGGAGTCTAGATTGTGACTTCTAAGTCCAAAGTTTCCAGCTTGGGGGTTGCCAAAAATGGGGTACCCTGCCTGCTTCACAGTTTCTGGGGTGTTCTCTTGACCACATGTCTTGACATCCTTCTCTATAGGAAGGCTTCTTTCTCTTCCAGTACATCATTGGATTAAAATGTCTTCCATTCTTTTCTTAGCACAGATATCCAAGAGGGCTTTCAAAATGCTGCTGCCAAAATAGAAGTAATGTAACATTGGTGATGCATTAACAGGAGAGGAGCGGGTTGGGAGGAGTCCTAGCAGAGACCTCTAGAGGGCAAACAATCCAGCCCTCTGCCCAAGAGGGTGGCTCAGATTGCCTGGAAGTCTGTACTCTTCTTAGGAAGGAAATTACTCATGGCTTCCATGGTAACCTGGTCCCCATCCCCCTTAGAGGAAGAGCACTTCCTTCCTATCTAACCCAATGCCCTCCTACTGCAATGGCTGGAAGTGTTGGGCAAGTTAGTGAGACATATGCTTGGTGAGCACAGAGTCTTGCCCTAGGAACGGCACACCGCTAGACTGGGGGGACTTGCAGAAAGGTTTCACTCAGACTCCTGCAGCATCTGGGTGATGCTGGAGCTAACCTCTCTGCCCAAGCAGAGGACATGCCCATCTGTGAGATGTACTGAGAGAACACCCAAGGTCCCCTTGTCCTCTTAAGTGTCCATTCACTACCTGCCACGGCCAGGTAATCTTCACCATTAAAGCCAGTCTTGACCTCTTGAGCTCAAGGTCATGGGGAATGTCAAGATCACTGTGCATAATGAAAGGAAATGCAGGGAAAGGAGAGACAGATCTAGGATGGGAACCTCAGCCCAGGGATGCAGCAGAAGGCACATTCTCTCTTTATGGGGTACAAGCCACTTGTACAGAAGCTGGCACATAGTAGGTGCTCAAAAAGTTTTGAAAAGGGGATGGGAACCTCAGCCCAGGAATGCAGCAGAAGGCACATTCTCTCTTTAATGGGGTACAAGCCACTTGTACAGCAGCTGGCACATAGTAGGTGCTCAAAAAGTTTTGAAAAGAAACAACAAGAAAGTTCTGAGCCAAAAAGTGAGAGAGTAAGGGTGGAGCAGCCCTGAAGAGGGGGAGAGGTGATAAAACACCCTTCATCGCCTTAACCATCTTTTCCAAATACAGCTCTATTGAGGCCTCAAGGTCTTTGCCCTCTTCCTGTAACTTTTGGCCAAAAAAATTATAGAGACGTAAGGGAGCCTAACAGAGGGCGGGGAAGAGTTCCCTTTTCTATTTGGCCTTTTGGTAAATAGGGGGTGGATGGGCAAATGAAACAATGAAGAAATGGAAGGATGGATGGATGGACATCAAACAGCAGGAGAGCCTGCATTTGCTCAGAAGAGAGAAGCAAGATGTGCCTAATTCTCATCATATCTGCTTCCCAGGACTCATCTGACGATGTGCGGAAAGTTCAGAGGAGGGAGAAAAATCGCATTGCTGCCCAGAAGAGCCGACAGAGGCAGACACAGAAAGCTGACACCCTGCACTTGGTGAGTGCTCAGACCTTTCTTCATCCTCTTGAGCCTTAGACTTTGCTCCCTGCCACCCATGGATGCTTAGACCACAGCTCTGAATCAGCCTGCATGGGGAGGTGGATGTAGAGGGAGTAAGAAGAAGGGTGAGGGCTGTGGGGTGAGGTGGAAGAGGAGGCTCTCCTTTTAGTGTATTGAGAAGATTCTGGCAGGGAATGAGCCAGAGGCTGAAAGAGAAAGGAGCCCCTTCTTGCTGACCCCTGAGGAGCAATGAGGGGCAAATGAGTTGAGCATGGGAAGCACAGAGGCTGAAAGGAAGGCAGAATCACCTAGGGGATGGAGTAGCCAGAGAAAGCTCCATCCCTCATGAGCCTAGAGAGCAGAAGGGAGGACTGTCTCTGGGAGGAACTTAGAGGTTGTGGAGAGCTTTGGGGAAGCCCAACATCCCACAGCGCTAGGGTCTCATAGAGTCCCATCCCCTGGGAGCCCAGTTGAACAGCCACCCTGCACTTGAGGCTAGGAGGCCCATAGGGTACTGCACGTTACTTCTTTTTTTTCTGAACATCAAGGTTTTATTTGGAAACTTCTCTCTTTAATCATATCCCAAGGGGGTCTGTGGAATATGTGGTTTCTAGTGCACTAACTTGGGATGGTCACCATCCTGACTGAGTTGCTTCTAGTCTCAAGTTTTCTAGAGTAGGCCCTGACCCCTGGCTTGAGCAGGGGCCCTGATCAATGCTGAATTGCAATTCCACCGGCAGCCCAAGACCCCAGTTGGTGTTTCTAGATTCTGGCTGTGTGCTTTGTCAGCAATACTCCGTACTGCACGTTACTTCTTTTTTTCTGAACATCAAGGTTTTATTTGGAAACTTCTCTCTTTAATCATATCCCAAGGGGGTCTGTGGAATATGTGGTTTCTAGTGCACTAACTTGGGATGGTCACCATCCTGACTGAGTTGCTTCTAGTCTCAAGTTTTCTAGAGTAGGCCCTGACCCCTGGCTTGAGCAGGGGCCCTGATCAATGCTGAATTGCAATTCCACCGGCAGCCCAAGACCCCAGTTGGTGTTTCTAGATTCTGGCTGTGTGCTTTGTCAGCAATACTCCCTCCTTGTCTGCCATACCTTATCACCTGGCCTCTCTTCACTCTGCCCCTTAATTTGGTCCTTGTCCAACTAACTCTTACTTCACTGGCTCCTTCCTCTTCCATTTACTCCACTTTCTCTAGCAACTCTGCCTTTCTGCCCTGCCTCCTGAACCATCCCCAAACCTCCAGCATCCTTGCAACTCATTTCAATGGTAAAAGGGCATTTGGCACCAAAAACGAATATGCTTGTGTTTATTTGAAAGATTAGCAATGGAAATCAGCCAGTTAGAATAGCTGATTCCATTTTATCAAGAAAAAGTAAGATGTTTATGTGTGGTGTCAGACGGGTTTTAGACTTGATCGGGGTGATCAATTTGCAAGGTATAAAAATGTCTAATCACTATGCTGTACACCTGAAATAAATATGTATTATTTCTCAACTGTAATTGAAAAGTAAATTTATAAAAAAGAAAAAGCAAGATGCAGTTTTAGAGAAAAGATTGTTAAGCTTTGTGAGGAAGCAGAGAGCAGGCTGCACCAACATCTCTGATGGGATGCTTGTGTTTTATTGGAAATATAATCAGCATATCTTCCTTTGCATACTAACATAGTTTTAAGTTCATAAATATTTGTTGAACTGAACAACAAAGAAAAAGAATGAATGAACAGCAAGTCTGTTCCTCTCTTTGATAACTGTGATCAGCAGTCCAAATATTAAGTTGTTGATCCTGCTACTGATATGTTCTCCATGATTTCATTATGGCGTAGGGCAGGGGTCCTCAAACTTTTTAAACAGGGGGCCAGTTCACTGTCCCTCAGACCGTTGGAGGGCTGGACTATAGTTTTAAAAAAAACTATGAACAAATTCCTATGCACACCGCACATATCTTATTTTGAAGTAAAAAAACAAAATGGGAACAAATACAATATTTGTATTTGCATGTGGCCCGCGGGCCGTAGTTTGAGGACCCCTGGAAGCCTTAGGGTCTCACAATACTCCAGTTTACTATTTTAAGCTTGAAAATCTATGATCACTCACTTTGTCTCTATCAGAGTCTGATTCTAATTCAATATTCTTTAGAGCAAGCCAACAAAACAAAAAAGAAAGAAAGAAAGAAAGAAAGAAAGAAAGAAAGAAAGAAAGAAAGAAAGAAAGAAAGAAAGAAAGAAAGAAAGAAAGAAAGAAAAAAGTCAGAAAGGATAAAACCTTCCGTTTTGTGCAAGTAGACAATGTCCTGAGACTGGAAAACTGCTATAAACTTTCTAAGTTTGCAACTTTTTTAAATATAGAGACTAAGTATAGCTCAGCAGCTCCGCAGTCGAAAGGACAGGGTTTGAATCTCAGCCCCATTGCTTGCAATCTGTGTGAGCAACCTTAGAGACGTTCTTCCCCTCCCTCCGATTAAAATGGGAAATGACAGTTACTACCTTATAGAGATAGTACCTATAGAGTTCAACACGGTGCCTGGCATATAACAAATATTCAAAAAATTTAAGTATAATAAGAGCAATATTAATAATAGTTATTATAAGAAACAAAATAAATCATCATACTTATATATTTTTATATATTTATATAATTAGTTATGATTATTTATTTTGCTTCTTATAATAATAAAATATGTTATATCTATAGATCACAGAATTTCACAGAAAGATGTCTTTAAGGCTGGAACGTTCAGACACACTTTTGATGCTTCAGACTCCTCTACAACACTCCCCCACCCCGGAAATGGTTCCAAACTCATGCCTGCTCACTTAGCATGAACAAAGGAGTCTTCCAATCTTCAGCTGCACCATTGTCTCCTTGTACATTCAACCCACTGGGGATATATCAGTGAGGGTGCTATGTTTGTTTCTTTGCTGTGGCAACGCTGACTCAGTTCTCTCACTCTATAAGAGTTAGAACCAAAAGATTTAGCCCATCTGATTATACTAGCCATGACTAGATAAGGATAATCTCTGGGGTTTGGAGTTAACATTAACACCCCCAACCCCAGCCTCAGTCTCTAGAATGTTCCCATCTTCTCCACACCTAGACACAAACTCCTCCCCACTCCTTTCTTTTGAGCACCACAGATTTCACCTTCACTTTTTGCCCAATGAGTAGGTCACATCAGAGTTTACACAGCAAGCTTGGTTTGCAGCCAATGCAACTGATGTTTTTTGACTTCAGGTAGAAACTTTTGGCCACCACATATAAATCTGTCACCATCAAACGGAGAGTTTGGCTCTGGTCTCAATGCTTATTTCCTCTCAGGTGGTAATTACCCATCTTCTCCATCCATTAGCCTCTTATGTTTGTTATTCAGGTAGAAAATCTTCTGGTTATCACCAACATCCTTAGGGTTGAGTGCTTGGTTTGCCCTGGACTCCTTTTCATGCTTGGCTCCACATGCTGAGGTTCTGGAACTGTTCTCTGGCCCTCTGACATAGTCATGGGACTCATCTATCAACACTTTAAAGACCAGGGTTTAGAAACTACTGTGAGTGCAGCATCACATAAGGACCATATTTGTATTCGTGTGCTAGGCTCATATATACTAGGATAATGCCATCTTCTCCATTTCAACATTACCACAACTATCTATCTTTAAACTACCAAAAGAATTGTCTTGTTTTTCCTGTGAAATTGGGGGATACTTATTACTTAACATTTTCCATGTCTATCTTTAGTGGTTAACAAGACACTGTATATTAATTGCCTTTAAAATAACACAGTAGGGAAGACCCTCTTTTGATGATTGTATTTAATCTCATGCAAATGTTACAACATCCAGCATTGACTATCCCTCACATAAACCGGATCAAGTACTTCTTCTCATAATATCAATAGAGTCCATATTCTCTTTTTAAAAATATTTTTTTATTGATTTCGGAGAGGAAGGGAGAGGGAGAGATAGAAACATCAATGATGAGAGAGAATCATTGATCAGCTGCCTCCCGCACGCCCCCTACTGGGGATCGAGCCCACAACCTGGGCATGTGCCCTTGACCCGGATCAAACCTGGGACCCTCAGTCCACAGGCTGATGCTCTATCCACTGAACCAAAACAGCTAGGGCTCCACATTCTGTTTTAACTTTCTTCTGGTTGGGTGTCTCACACAGCACCCATCACACTAAATTCCTCTTCTCCCACAGACAACTATAGAGTTCATTAGGTTTAGTACAGACATTAATTAAAATGAGAAGGGCATATTTTGACCAGTTCATTTTCAAAAGATATCAATAGCTAATAAGTGGACCCAAAATAATCAGCTGAAAAACTTAAAAATGATAAGAGAATCCAGTCAGCTTCCAAAGTTAACACAAAGGTAATAACTTTCCTATATGTAAACCATGACCAATTAGAAAATTTAATTGGAGACAATATCCCATTTATAATACCAACAACAGCAAATTGAAGGAAGGAATAAATTTAACAAAAAATATGCAGAACTTAATCTTTAAGATCTATAAAATTATTCTAAGTGACTTAAAAACACTCAAAATAAGTGGAAAGGTATACCTTATATAAGGATAGCAATTTTGTTAAATTAGTCTAAAATTTAATTTAATGTGATCCCAGTAAAAGCCCAATAGGACTTTCTGGAATTTGGAGGAGAACTACATTAGCTATTCTAAGTTCCCAGAGAAAAATTACCATGTGAGAATTTCTAGAAAAATTCTGAAGAAGGAGGGCAACTAGAAAAGATTACCTTAATAAGATATTAAAGGGAATTACAAATGTAGAAATAAAAACAATATGAAAAAGAATATTGGATAGAATAGAATACAGAAATAAACCTTAAACAAATTCAAACTTAAGACCCAATCACATCTGTCAATTCCTAAGACACAAGTTCAAATGCAAAATGAGTAGGATGGCATTTCAGACCAGTGAGTGAAAGCAATTATTCAATAAATAGAATCGGGACAACTGGCTAGCCATT